ATTTTTCACTTGAAAAATGGCACTTGGTTTAACCATTTTATCTGAATATTTATGTTGTCCTGGAGAATTTCTTTTTATGTCTTTTTTTCTTTAAAATAATAATTTTAGCTTTTCTCCTTCTTTCTCTTTCTCCCCCCTTACCCCCCTCCCCCCCTCCTGTTTTCTCTGTTGACATTAATGTAAATTACGATTTGAGTATCATCTGGAATATTTAACTTTTATGTTTTTAAAATAAAATCTAGGAAAGCTCTCTCATATTTACTTTTTCATTCTATTTTGTCTGTTTTGTAATTGTTTATTTTTGGACTTTATTTTGCTTCATTCTCTATGCTTTCATTATCTATGTTTTAAAACAGTTAAGATTTTTAAAAATTGCAATCACTTTCCCAACTCTTCATTATCCTTAATACTCATTTCTACTTTAAATTCTCCTGTTTCTTGTAGTATTTGCTTACATATTTCTAAACAGGACAGTCACACCAATTTTTTTTTTTCAGTTTTAGATAAGATCAATTAATTTCTTACTCTGAAGCCAAGGGTTTAGTTATATTATATATATGGCTTATCTTCCTCCCCATTGGAATATTTCTCTTTTTTTCATTTTCCAAATATAAGCTTACTACTCTTCAGGGTTTATATTTTTATAACTATATAGACTGTTCACAGATAAACTTTTTGTAGTGTTCTTTGATTTGGTTTTGTTTTCTACATAAATTTTGTTTTTCTTGGAGTAGTCACTGTCTAGCTTTATTTCTCTTATTAGTTTCTTGACCAGTTTAATCCCAAATTTCTTGCTAGAATTGTAACCCCTCTCATGCATTCAAATGCATTAATAGTTTCTTAAATGTATTCAAAAGCACTGATGCGGTCCTTTCTGGGAGATTGGACTTGATGCTCTCTAGCCCAGCGGCACTGCTGTTTCTTTAGTATTTTTCTCACTATTGTGGAAATCCCCTTCAGCTGTCCTATACTGGAGACCCAGTTTCCTTGCTCCTTTCTTCTTCCTCTTTCTTGGTTTACCATCACCATCAGTTCCAGAGAAAGGGATTATAGGAGGTACTTCTTTTTTTTCTTTTTTGAGATCTTCCATGTCTGAAACATTTTTGGTCTGTTCTGATCTTGATGGATAATTCGGGTATAGAGTTCAATATCGAAAGCCATTTTTCTCTTAGGATTTTTAAAACATTATTCTACCACCAGGGATTTAGCTCAGTGGTTCTGCCGCCTGCCTCACAAGCGCAAGGACCCGAGTTTGATCCCCGGTACCAAAAACAAAGACAAAAACAAAACAACAACAACAACAAAAAACATTATTCTACCACTAGAATTGTCAAGTAGGATGTCATTTTGATTCTTGGCTTCATGTGTAGGATCCATTTTTGTTTCTGATTTGGGAAGATCTAAGACTTTTGCTCTTGTGGCACTTTGGAAGTTCATGATTTTGTGATCTGGTTTGGATTTTCTTCCTTGTATTAAGAAGTTGCTGGGCACTTGGAAGCTCAGGTCTTAGCTTTCTCAGATTTTTTTTTTCTTTGACAAAATTTTGCCCCATTTTTTTCTATTCTTTTTGTCTGGAACTTCTATCGGCTAAATGCAAGGCATTGTGACCTGTGGTTGTCTTCTAATTATTTGTCTTTTGTTTTACTTACCATCTGGCTATCTCTTCTTTGTCCTCCAATCTATCGTATTTTAAACTTTTGATATCATACTTTTAATTTCAAGAGCACTTTCTTATATTGTTAATGATCTGTTAAAAATAATACCTTTTCAAAAAAAACCCCAACAAACCTTTTCGTTTGTTCCATTACTTCTCTGGGGATATTTATTTATAAAAGTTTTTCTGTCTCTACTGTGTCACATCCCTCCCAGTTTCTTCCACTGTGTGTTTATTTTGGTTGCTGTTTTTGATAGTAAAGGTCTTTCTCAAATGTCTTGTGCTCTCTGAGTGTTTCCTCATGCTTAAGTTTGATATTCTAAAAGACTGAGAACTCTGATGAGCTTTATTCTGCCATGCTTGGATTGGATATTTTGCTACCATTAGTTTCTAAATTTTTTTTCTTGTAGAATGGTCATCTGAAGATTTTCTACCAAAGGGTCTAACCTGACTATTGGCGGAGAAAGAGAAGATCTATTATTTATATGTCAACCATCATTTAAATGTTTTATTTTCAGTAAGTCCTTTCTGGCTTCATTGTTCATAATACAAGGAACCTCTGCTTGAATCTCTCCAAAGAGAAGGGGAAGAGGATGTTTGGCAGGGGAAGGGAAAGTTCTCTGAGCAGGTGAGCATATGCAGATCTGGGTAAAACAGTTCTTGCCTTTGGACTCAGAAGTTGCTTTCAAATATATATCTGTTTCAGCATAATCCTTACCACTTCCTTCAGATGTAAAAGATGTCTTCAATTTTCTTACCAATAAGCTTATTTCTTATCTCACGCTATTGCTGGTGTGTTTAGTTTTCCCCATTTTAAGTTCGTCATCATCATTTTTGGCTTTATAGATTCTAAAAATGTTATGCTGTCATGAAGTTCTCTCTTCCCATACTCCTTGTAGATTTGTGTCTTTTTCACATCTCTAGTGTCATTTTAGTGGAGTGTGGGAAGGAAATGAAGATTAAAACATATGTTCAAATTCCAATGTTTAACAGAAATCTCTTTTATTTTTTATTCAACATTTATTTAAGAAGATATTAAAATTTGGGAGGATTTAAAAACAAATAATAATATGATTTTAGTATTATCTTGCAAGTTATTTTCAAATATTTACCAGTTTTGCCATAGATTCATTTATATTACACATACTCATATTTCCTTTGCAATTTAATATTTCATCACAAATATTTTACATTTTTTAAAGAATATTTGTAGTGCTGGCCTTACAATGTTTCCTTTTGTTGACCTCACTTTCCTTGCTAATTCACTCAGTAATACTGGGTTCTAATTTTCCCCTATTATTTATACTATCAAAATGAACAACTCTTTACTTTTTGGCTCTTCTTTGTTCCTAAAAATACATTCCTTGCAGTGCAGTGATTGGATCCAAAAGGAAGAACATCTTTATGAGTCCTGTTACACATTTCTATATTGATTTTCCAAAAACTGTATGCCAAATTTTAATTTCACCACCAATGACTGAGGATAGAATACTAATGCTACCAAAGCTATTTTTATTAGCAACTTGACTCACCTAAGATATTCCCTAAATCACATATTTACCCAAGAGAAGCATTTGCTTAGACCATCTATGGTGTACAGATGTGTCTGAGAACAATCAAGGCTGTGGGCTTCCTTCCCATGAAAGTGAATTCCCTCCGCCACATGGAATCACATTTATACACACAGACATGGAATTTCCAAAACGTACTCCTCCGAAGCTCATCCCATAGACTCTGGTGCAAGATCCCAGTGTTTTCAGAAAACATTTTCCACTGCAGTGAGCATGCAAATTTCTTTGTTATTAAGCAATCAAAATTAAGATAAAATGGCATCACTAAATCTGACGGCCCCAAAGTCTAGGATTCATGTTGCTCTTATCACCATGATTCTGGGACTAAATTTAAAGCCATGGACAGTGATGAGGATCCAATTCTAATCTCGGCTCAACATCTGCCCCTTAAGTTTGCTTCTCTGCCCTGAATTTATTATTTAGAAATGTGATCATGATAGAGTTTGGGCATATAAACTTTAAGTTAAAAGTGAGAAAAACAGGAAGTTTCAGTGGGGACTGGGTGTGAGAAACTGGAAGAAAAATAATAGGAAGAAGAGCATGTGGAAGTAAGGCTGGCCTATTCTGAAGCATTGTACAATCTTACATGATAAAATGCATATTGAGGAACTGAAATTAGAACCCTTGGTAACCATGGGAACAGTACTGTTATGGCTCAATTGTTAGAAAAACAGTCTTGGGATTCTGTGAAATGGAAATGATTGTTTAGACAATGACACATCTCCGGTGTCAGGACTGATAGTGAAATTCCTGTATAATTGGAAGTCGCAGGCCAAAATGTGGGGAACTTTTCAAATCCACCATTTCAAAAATATTCCTTTTTGAAGCAAATGATTATTGAATATTATTTCTAATGATTTTCAAAAATATTTCTTTTTCAAATATGTATTTATTAAGCTTTATAGGAAGTTCTATCATTCAAATTTTATATTCCTTTAGATTTTTATAACCACAATATTCCTATATGTCCATAATTTCCCATTTCTCCCTTCTTTGCATGTGCTATGTTTAGCAGTTTTTCAGTAGCTTGCTCCTGGAAAAATGTCATGTGAGGTTTCTATTATTCTAGTCTCCAGATCCCAGAGTTAATTTTAGAAAGAGAATTTAGATGGTAGATGTGGAGTAATCTTAAAAGAGAAAAATTATCTACATATAAGGAAGCACTTAGGTCTGTGGCCTTTTTGCTATACAGAAACTTTATATCATGATTAGAATAATAACAAAATAATTAATATTTATTTCAAACATAACACGTACCAGGTTCTGTGCTTCTTGCTTACCAATACAAACCCTGCCAATTTGCTTTCATTACTTTCCATGTTTACAGAAGATTAAACTGAGTCTCAGAGAGGTTAAGTAATTTTGCTAAGGTAATAAAACCAGTAAGTGACCATATGGTGACTTGCCCTCCTTACCCCTTGGCCCTGGTCTTTTTATATCCAAGGCTTGTGCTCTTTTCACCTCTGTGTGGCCTAAGATCTCTATCTGCTTCAGATTGCTATGGCTAGGAACATCTGCATGTTGTTTGTGATCGAAAAATCGAGGATTTTTCCTGCTGCTCCTGGTCACTTTGGTAAACCCTTTTCCTAAAGCACTACAATGACTTGAATCTATAACTCAGTTCGAATGCTGCCTTCTTGTACAGAGCTGTCCTTTTTTCTCCTTCGTTGACCTATCCATGACATTCAATTTTACATTTCTTGCGTTTATTGATAACTTTTCTCTTTTATTGTGTCCATGTTTGGATAAGCCACTTGAGAATGTCTTATATACAACAAACATCCACGCAGTGTTTCTGTCTTGCTCCTATGTGGATATTTTTATCCAGTGATGTGAGTGCGTTGTTCTCTGCATCTCTTTGAGTGACTGAAGGGACTAGGATGCAAATCTGCAGAAATGTGAGTAATAATTTAAAAGTGTAATGTTTTAATCCTTTCTCTCCCTTTGAGAGTGTTTCTGAAGAGTGAGTAATTTCTGTAGAGTAGGTAGAAGCTTGCCTGGAACCAATGCTTTGGAAAAAGACTGACAGAAATGCTCCTTAGTGTTCAAAAAGACTTTGGATTTAGGCTTTCATGCAACTGTATTAAGGTTAATATTTTTAAATGAACTTGACTTATTTTCAGCAGCTCTAAGGCCGGAGACAAGTACAACTGTATCAAAGTTTAGGCTATCAGTGATAACCTCACCAATGTAAACCCCTCAAATATAATTTTTCAAAGGAGTTTTTAGCTATTATTCACTGTTGGATATGTTGCTTTTCTCTTTATGTCTGGAATCTGATTTTCTAGACCTGGCCTACCTTGTGATAAACCTACATTTATATATTCATTTGAGATAAGGCAGACTTATACAGCATGGGTGTGTTTTTACTGAATTAAAGGACTGATTATTGAATATCTTTCCTAATGATTTTAGTAAAAAGATATGGCTTGAATAACAGTGATAATTCTCAGAGCACAGCTTCAATTTTGAGAACAGACTTCATCTGAAAACTACAAAAATAAAAACAAACTCCCCCAGCACAAGCATTCCAACAAAGCAAAATTAACACAAAATTCTCAACTGTTACAAATCTGTGAATCTTAATAACAATTGTGCTATTAGTTTATTTACAGTATGATAATTTAAAACATTTTGTTGTTAATTTGATAAGACTTTCAAATAAAAATTTCATGATTAAAGACATTAAGCAATTAAAAATGCCTTCTACTTTAATGATGGAGCATATTGGTTAGGTTCTAATTGAAGTAAACCAGAGATCCAGGGAGGTTTTTGTTTTGGTTTTTTCACTTTGACACTGTAGATTCAATTCAGGGCCTTCTTTTATATTTTTTATTTTGAGACAAGGTCTTGTTATGTTGCCAAATTGCTCACACTGGCTTTGAACCTACTGTCCTGACTCAGCCTCCCAGATTGGTAGGATTAGAGGTGTGTGTCACCATACTTAACCTCCAGAAGTTGTAAGAGCCTTTCACTAAATAGTCTTTTTAATGTGTGGCAGGTTCCATTTACCATTTACTTCAAACCATTCTGGTTGGAATTCTACACGGAAATGTGCTTTGGTTAGTTGTATATCTGTGAAAGCCCTTGAATTTTTCTTTGGTGATGCTGCTGCTTCAAGTCGACATAGCCTGTGCATTTTAATTCAAAGTTATTTAGGTTAAAGGAAGTAGCTACTCAGGTAAAAGGTGGTCTATATTTAGAAGGCTTATAAATTGCAAAGTGTACAGAATATAAATTATACTTAAATGTTATTTACTGTCATTACAGTTTCAAATTTGCTCAAATGAACTGAATTTACAAAGTGAACTGAAATGCAGCCTCTTTATTTTCCATAGCTCTGGTAGACTCAGTACTCTCTTCCTCCCCCCACAGAAGTATTCCTGTCCTCATGCTGGGAACCTCTGAATGGGTTACCCTACATTCCAGGCAGGCTCAGTCTAATCACATTGATCCTCAGAAGTGGAGGGACTTGAGGCTGGGTTAGAGAAAGAGATGTGGCATTGGAGCATGATCAATGCTGCATTGCTGGCTTCAGGGGTGAAAGAAGGAAGCCGTGGAAGCTACAGAAAGAAAAGAAAAGCTTTCTCCTTTAGGGCCTCCAGACAAGAAACAGCACTGATGATTTTAGCATGGTGAGATCCATGATGGATTTCGGATGTATTGAACTGTAAGATAATGAATCTGTATTATTTTAAGTCACTCTATTTGTAGTAATTGTTTTGGCTATAGCAGAAAACTAATACAATACCTGAAACACACTTTCTCCCAAGCCTTTATACTTATAGCTATCAGAGAAAACAATGCAGACTTAGGGAGTATAATAAGTATTTCAATCCTTTCTGAGTTGGGTTGAGGTTGCTCAGGTACATTTGGCTAGAACATAGCTTTCCCAGTTTTTCTCTCCCTTCCTCTGTTCTTCCAGAGACGGCTCCCAGGCAAAGAGAGCAGAGTGGGATTTATGCTTTCCTGGCAGTGTGGGAAAGTAGATTTATTCATGAGCATCCTTTAGTTGTGGATCTGTGTCCCTTTGTCTTTGCTTGGTGGCCTCTGCTAAATATGTTAGTGTTGTAGCTGATCCTGCCTGACTTTTGAGCATGCCCTGTGATGATTTGGGGAAAAGGAAAATAGGAAGTAGGCGAGACTCCTTCCAGAGAGGAAAAAGAAGTAAACATCTAGTCTGTCCCTTGTTTCTTAATCTAGACCATGCCATTGCGTGCAATCAGGGGGGCTCAGTTCTTAATCAGGCTTGAACTCTGCTGGTCTGGTAGTCACCTAGAACTTCTACAACCTCTGGAGTCCATGTGGAAGCTTTAGTATCTTCTGCATGCTCTGCCTCAACCATGAGAGTCCATAAACTTTTTTTTTTAAGGCTCATCTAACAAACGTTTACTATCAGTTTTGTGGCATTTTGTCTGAAATGCCTCAGGGTTTCTTCCACTAATGCCAGACAATTGGGGAAGAGGTGCTAAAGTTCTTGAATTCCTGTTCTTATTTTCTTAGATTCCTGCCCCTATTTAGTTGTATTGAAAGCATTTCCTACCATCTGGGTATACAGTGTCCACCTAGGATGTATAGAACCAGGCATTTGACGTACTCATTTGACTTTTCTTTATTCTCTTCCTAAACTATCTTGGATAAAAAAAGGCTACATTTTCATCTCTTGTTTAACCCTGGAGGGAATTTTTCCTACACTTTCCTTTCCTTTCCTCAGGACATCACCTTCACTTTTTAATGTTAATTAAAAATTAATAGGGATTAGGCATGCATGGTGGCACCTGCATATAATCCCAGTACTCTGAGAGGTGGAGGAGGATTGCATTTTTGAATCCAGTCTGAGCAATTTGGGGGTCATAGTGAAACCATGTCTCAAAGTAAAACATAAATGGCTGGGGATAAAACTCTGTGTGAAGGCTCTGAGGAATAGTGGGAGGGGTATCCTCTGCTCACTGGAAAAGAAGCTTTATAATCGGAAGTGGCTAATTTTCCTCATGGTGAGATAACAGTAGGACAACAAAACATTCAAATATACTGGCTTTCGGAAAGTGTTGGCATATTGCACCCTGAAAGCTGGCTGATTGTTTTCATAAAAGTTTTCAAAGAATATAGTCATGTCATTTGCACATTGCCTCTGCTTGCTTTTGAGCTGTAATGACAGAAGAGTGCAATAGACATCATGTGCCCTGAAGAATCAAAAAATGGTTACTATCAGGCCCTTTGGTCAGCCCTAGCTTAACCTATTCTTGTAGTGGAACAAATAATAACAAATCTGACAGTTTAAAGCAATAAGTATTTATTACCTAGCAGTTTCTGTGGGTCAGGGATATAGGCTCCTGTACCTGGGAGATTTTGCCTCAAGGTGTCTTGGGAGGTTACAGTCAAACTGCAGACCAGGTCTGCAGTCTTTGCATGGCTTGGCTGGAACAGCCGAAGCTGTTTCCAAGCGCACAGGTGGTGGTGGGCAGATCTCAGCTTCTCATTGGCTGTCACTTGGAACCTCAGTGAGGCAGCTCCATAAGAGAGCCGTTTTCCTTAAACAGGTGGTCTGAGGAAGGGAGAGGGTGTGGACTTTTGTAACTAAAGCTGAGTGTGACATCTTGAAACTTCTGCTGTATTCGGTTTGTTAGAAATGAGCACCAAGTCAAGCCCACCTTCAAGAAGAGGGCATTGTACAAGGAGATGAGCTCCAAGAGACACAGCGTGAAGGGTGGGTATCACATTTAGTATCCTCGGGCCCCAAACTGTCACTCTTTTATATCATTGTGCTCTACATGATCTCCTATTGCTGTAGCTCTGGAATTTTGTACTATGAGAACCATAGGGAAGCCACATAAGGAAGGTCTAAAGCCATTTTAATAAACAGTCTGATTCTGAAATAGTCATAAAAGTTGCTAGTCTGGGTGGTGCCTGTGGACCAAATCCAGGCTGTGACTGAAAAGTTAAGAAACCCTTGGGGAAGGCATGAGAAATAAATAGCAGGGATTCAGAGACAACAGAGACCAGTGGTTACGACAAGGTTGATGTGGGACAAGGTATGGTTAAGAGACCATTTTATGAACAAAGAAATCTTTTTATTTGTTAATTCAGTCAACATCCAGCAAATAGTTACTGAGCCCCTAGTAAGCCTCAGGAGATACTGAAGGATTTGTGGATATAGCAACAGACTGGGGTACTAGGAAGATGGCCTTGGACAGGAACCACACAGCAGGTGCTTCCTTTGTATGTTGGCCACCAACAAGTGACTTACCAGCATTTGACCCTTTTCAGTATTTGTGAAGATATTGGAAGATTTTTACCAGAGAGAAGATATTTAACAAGATATTTAACAGAAAGATAATAGGCAGAGTAGAAAATGTATCCAGGGAAATAGAGGCAGGTTCAAGAAACTTTGTAATGCACTGACAGTCCTTCCTAGCTCAAGTGGATGTTTTAAAAATGCTTGTTGCTCCAGAGAGTAAATGTTTTTAAAATGCTTGCTGTTCCATACACAGGTAGGCAGTGGCAGGAGCTATAAAAGTTATACATAGACTGTTGAAAGTCTCAACACACTTCTTTGCTTTTGTTCGTTAAAACTTGTTTTATTTAGCTGTTTTTAGCATAGTCATATTTTTCACTAAACTCAAACTATTTATTCAATAATCAGATCTAGAATTGTGCTCTAGAACCCTCTATCAAAAGCCAAACCAGGGGCCGGGGATTTAGCTCAGTGGTTTCGCCACCTGCCCTGCAAGCGCAAGGACCTGAGTTCGATCCCCAGTACCAAAAAAAAAAAAAAAAAAAAAAGCTAAACCATGTTTATTTATATTGAGATAAATGCAGAGAAGAGAGACTAAAAGAGCAGAGAGGGAGTTTTCTTGGATAATCTAAGAAAAGTCAGAATCAGACAGAAGACTAAATA